AATGGACACCAAACAAAAACTTAGCTACAAAATGCTGGTTAAAATTAGTAAACCTATAATCAAGGGCATAGGTGAGTGATTATAAGGACGGATTCTACTACGATTCTAAACATCCTTACTACTAACCACAACCAAGATCACAGATATTTCAGCTTGGCTCACCAATTTCGCGACCTTCAGAGATTTGATTGAGAGATTAGCATTTACCTAACTTATAGATAATATAATTGTTTGGTAGATTATTTAGCTAATAAAGGACATACCTATATTTTGGACTTTATGTAATTGATATTGTGATCCATATCTTCAATACTGGACCATAGACAATTCGCTGAATATTGTTCAATCTCTTTCAATATAAGTGTCAGACAGGCACATCGTTTTAGTGTAACATCTACTTAAAAAAACAGTCACTTCATTTGACCCAACATTATTAGTTTGGGTGGGTCAAGTAAATTCACTATATTTGAGAATAAATTGATTAGCATCTTATATATGTACTGTCCAAGTTTGAGTGCATTCTCAAATTGAGAATGGCTGGGCTTGGTTCGTGCACGATGATTTGATTGGATAATTTTTTTTAACGTGACTTGTAACTTATCATACATATCGATATGACCCAAACAAACAAAATCTTAGACTAATTGTGACAGAGTGACTTTTATGATACAATCCACTTAGTTTTGTAAGCCTTTTGCTACAATGTATATAATTTCATGAGTATTTGGTTACGAGCCTCATAGTTTAGTAGCCATTTAGGCATTTAACCCATCGCTATCATAGGAGCGTCGTGAGTCCATTTGACTAAATTGGAAGCCCATATCAGATTAGGCCCTCTACTAAGTACTAACCAAATAATAATAACAAAAATATTGGACAAAGTAGGGACAGGTTACGGTGATTCTATATAAGTAGTAATCACCATGGTTACTAAGGGTAAATTGGGTATGAAAAATAAATTGTATTAATTAATTTTTTTAATAAATTACATTTTAGGTAGTTACAAGAATCTATTAATTACAATTCTCTCTCTTTCTCTCACTTCCATAATCTTCAGCCAGATCTTTTTTCCTTATTTTTCTCAATCTTTTTGCAAAAGAAAAAAAAAACACGAAATCACTACCAATCCATTAGATAATCACTACCACTTTGAAAAATATCAATACCATTGCAGAAATAAATCTATACCATTACACGAAAACTACCATTATAAACAATCTACCAATATAAATCTATACCATTTCACAAAAAATCAATACCATTGCAGATTGAATCCATACCAATACATGCAAATTAATACCATTACATGATAATCAATACCAATGCGACAAAAACAATACCAATGCAAAAAAATACTACCACTACGAAAAAATCACTACCAATGCGAGAAAAAAAATCAGATCTAGGGTTTTTATTCATCCCACCTTTTCCAACGAATCTGTCGACCCGAGGAACTCCATTGCTAATGCTCTGGCGAGCCGTGATTTCCCAACTCCGGTTGGGCCGTGAAAGAAGAAGCTGGCGAGTGGCTTGTCGGCGACGAGATCTGAATGAGTAACTAGCTTGACACCGCGGGGAGGAGTACCGCGACGTATGCCAAGGATCAGCATGAGTGTTAGGAGAGTGCGTGGGATAATGGTGGGGTGGGGATTGGGATTGCATTGCAGGCTTAGCTGGTCAAACTTTCCAAAGAGAGTGCGTGGGACAATGGTGGGGTGGGGATTGGAAGGCAAGATGTTGGTCCATTCATAAACATATCCAGTACCGGGGGTGTGCTCTTCTTCGTCAGTACAGGGCTCAGGTAGATGAATGGGTACACGCCACAGCTCCTATGTCATTACATCAAGAGGCCTCTCGATCGCGTGCTCCCTCGGCCCTCCGCCAAACACAGCCTGCTGCTGCTGCCCGTGATGGTGTTTGTCCTGCCGGTGGAGTGCTTGTTTGATTTGATGGGTCTTGGAAAAAAGGAGTAGGCGGTGGAATCGGCTTTACCGGGTTCTCTCCTACAGGTGAACTCCTCTTCGCAATTGGCAAGTATTACTCAGGTATAACAGATCCCTTTATCATGGAAGTGTTAGCTTTAAGGGATGAAATTGATTGGTGTTTAACGCATGGGTTCTTTGTTGTGAATTTTTGTGGTGATTCCCAATTACTGACACGTCGAGTTTGGGAGAAGGATGTCGCACATGGTGCTGGAGGGGCTCTGCTCGAGGAAATCTGCTTTGCTGCTGCTGGTTTCTCTTGTTTTTCTTGTACTTTTACACCTAGGTTGTACAATAGGGCTGCCCACTTAGTGGCTTCTAATGCCCTCTCATCGGCAGTTCGACTAGCGACCGACTGCCGCGTTTGGCTTTTAAGTATCTTGTAATATCTAATTTTACCCTATCTATGCCAAAAAAAATGGTAACTGATTACTGGTCCATTATATACGTTCAATCCAGTCAAAAAAGCATCGATCCATACATGCAGATGCAGTCACCTGGGAGGGAGGGGCGGGCGGGCATGTCTCGTTGAGGAGAGTGAGGGATTAGGGTTTGGCTATAATATATAGAAATTAATTATTTAAAGGATAGAAATCTGGTGTGGTATATTTTTGGTTTTCAAAATTACCCTTAATCTAATCTTCACCGTCAATTTAATAATAGGATGAAATAAGGATAATGAAGGGTATAGATGTTAGTAGCCACCATGATTACTTAAAATTGAGTAACCACCCTAACTCATAAACAACATATATAACGAGATTCTCCTCCATCTCCTATCTCATTCCCTTTTCTCTGGCCGCTGCGCAAAGTACGGAAGGACGCCTTGGTAATTTACTTTCAAATTTCAGGCGGCTTCTTGGACACCATAAACGGGACACTTGCCCTGGAAGCAATGGGCCCATTGTATCTCAAACATGTAACTGGGCTACTGGCCGCATTCTTGCTTCCCCTTACCACATAGTTTTGTATTATGGCCTATGGGCTGGAATAATCAATCAGGTAAGTATTAAAGTTAATGAAATTAGTTAAGGTTAATATATTAGCAAGACATGTCTATTTATTCCAGGTTTATACAAAATATTACAATTATTCTAGGAAACTGAATTGTACACTAAATGATCATTTCAAAATGAGAATTATCGATGATGTTTCACGTACCTTGAATTCGAATAAAAAAATTTATCGAGTGATCAAGGGATTGTTTACTTTATGGATTGTAAATTTATAGTTTAAAGCTATAAATCCATAACTATAATATCCATGAGTAAATCTAACAAACTAACAACAAAACTATTATTATTTTTAAACCCATCACAAATTTATAATTTTGAAAACTCCAGATTTTAATCAAAACCCTCATTTTTAAATCCAACAAACAAACAACCAACCCCTAAGTCAATGGTCAATAGCATTGGTTAATAGTTAGTCCAAATTTTGAGAATCATCGGTTAACGTCTGTTTTATAAAATAATAAATTTGAGCATCATAGTTAAGAAACCGAGGCATAACTTTTTAATAGAGTTTATAAACTTACATTGCGAAAATTAGTTATGATTAGATAATTGAACCATCACGAGTGGATATTATATGTGCTTGAAATTTTCAACATAGGCACGTAATAGACTTAATAAATAGTCAATAATCATTAATTATATGTCTCAACATAAAAATGTATATAGCTTATGTCAATTATAGAAAAAAGTCGTTGATCAACTGTTGGGTATTTTGATTGAGAAAGGAGTGTGTATTCTATGAAGATCATAAACCAACATTAAGGTTACACGTCTAAGACCACGAATCCTTAATGGTAGAATTTTAAGATAAAATAGGTATGAGAATAAGTTGATTTTACATACTAAAAAATTCGGCCCAATCAATAGGTGATTCTATGCATTGAAGAAATATTCTCCATGGAGAATCATCCAATGAGAAAAACAATGAACAAATTCCATCTTCAAACCTTTAATGTAATTGTAGTATTTGATATGTATCAACGTCAAATTGGTGTACATTTTACAATTTAATATGTATTCATACACTGTGTGATTTAGCAAGAGAGGAGAGTTCTTTTTTATCACTAGAAAGCGTCGTAGACTATGATCAATCTCTTTTTGAATTTTTTTATAAAATTTATGGGATGTATCACATCCTCCAGGGAGAGTCAAAATGAAACTCAATCCCCGTCAAAATATTACAAGAACTCGACGAATTGACAATAGAGAATAAAGAGGAGGTAAACATCAATTTATATCTAGCGCAACTCATTAATTTTAAAATGCTAACTCATTCTCTAATTTTTATAACAATTTTTATTCTTTCAAATACAAAGTTATCAAAGTTGCGAATTGGTAGCTCTATGCTCGATGCCAAGCCTATTACCAAAAGTGGAAAAGACTCCCACGAGTAATATTTGTTTTCATTGAAATGCGAGACAAGAAAAAAGAGTCTGTTAATATTTTTTTTTAAATGAAGAGTCTATAATGTTGAAGATAGTGGATTTGATAATGGACATAATGACATTGTTGACATGAAGGAAGATAATATTGATGGTAAAGATCTTTGTTTTTTTTTTGGATTTATATAATTTTTTAAGTAGGAGTCGGCTCTCTCACATAGGTTTAATTTTTAGTAACAGTGAATATTGAACAACTCTATAATAATATATTCATTTAGTATTTCGTAACTTGCTATGAACCATTACTATTTTTGTTATTAACATCGACGCAATGCATTTTGCTATCCACCCAATAATAGGTGTTGTATAAAAAAAATAGTAAAAATCATATCCGCCTAACGGGCGGGCCCTAATCTAGTTATATCATATAAATACTAGTTGATTGCAGAAGCCAAGTTACCCACTAAACAATATATAAATGGTGTTATGAAAAAAAATATTAATGGTTAATTACTTCAAATAGTGTTAGAGACTGGTTAAGGCTAAATTACATGTTTGGTCACTCAAATTATATAAATCTTTCACATTTGTCATCCGAATTACTTTTCTTTCACATTAGGCACTAACTTTACAATTTGTTTCACCGTTAGTCATCGACCGTCAGTCTCCGTCAAACTCTGTTAACGCCGTCAGATTTTTAATGACGTGGCAAACGAAAGTGTTGACTGGACCGTTAACTTAATGACATGTCATTTAAAAAAAAATATAAAATATGGCCTCACTCTCTTTGTTCTTCTCCTTCTCCGGCTTCATCCTCGTCGCTGTGTCTTCCAACTCCAGCAGCGTCTGCTGCTCCCTCAACGCACCTTCAAACGGGCTCCAGACGAAGGACTTCAAACCAAAGCCCCTCCCTCAAAAGCTCTCTCTTAGAAACATAGAATCATTCAGCCAAACCTTTGAAAGTTCAAATTCCTTTCCGAACCCTACTCTACCGGAATCGGAATTCGCTTTGCTATCAATTCGCCGGCGAAGGTAGGAGAATTGAACAGTGGGAGAGCAACCGCTATGGTCTCGTCAATCAACGAACCAACGCACCCGTGAAGCTCCAATAAACCCTTCCCTTGAAAAGCTCACTCGTAGAAACACGCTTCCGCTTCTCCATTATTAATATCCCTCCAAAACCCAAATCCGCCAGGAAAATCGCCTTTTTTCTATTCCCCTGCCCTCCCGTTTTAATTAATCCCATCCGCCGGAAGAAGCTCGATGGAATCCCAGAAGGAGGAGAATAGATCGCGCACGGAATCGCCTTCTGTCCATTCCCATGCCCTCCCGCTTCACCCACGCAGCCGAAGAATCGCGCCCGGAACTCGAGATCTGGACAAGATGGATCGCGCCCGGAAAGAAAATCAGTGGGAGAGTGAAGAGCGACAGCTCGACGACAGGTCTCGGCTTGCTTGCGTGGCTCTTCTTCGAGGAGGATGAGCATGTCAACGAGTTGTTCATCCTGCGGTGACGGTGGTTTTTGCCGTAGTGATCTAGTGAAGGAAAGACGGCAAATTGGAAGGCGTTGGCTTTTGAGTTTTGTTTTTATATTTAGTCCTTAAAAAGTAAAAGAAACTTACATAATATCTTTTGGTCAACTGGTCAACCATTCTGTTAGTCTAGTCAGCACTTACGTTTGCCACATCATTAATAATCTGACGGTATTAACGGAGTTTGACGGAGATTGACGGCCGGTGACTAACGGTGAAACAAATTGTAAAGTTAATGGCTAATGTGAAAGAAAAGTAATTCGGGTGGCAAATGTGAAAAATTTATATAATTTGAGTGACCAAACATGTAATTTAGCGGACTGGTTAAACACTTCTAGACGTTGTGTGCATTTGGATGATAGGAGAGGGAAGGGAGAGGAGGCTTTAAAAATGAATTGGGGGAATAATTTTTCAAAGGAAAACGACTGCTTATGGAGTCAAAGTCTAGATAATAATTCTAATGAACTTCCAACAGAAAAAAAAAAGAAGCAGAAGAAGCATACACTTAAAATCTCTTTTGAATGAATATTTGGAAAGGCAGTATTGGAGATGTTAGATTGAGTGATCATTTATCAACAATATAATCGTTCGAATATACCTGAAAAAATGATTGTTATGCAGTAATGACGATGCGAGATGGAGTGATCAACGATATAATTGCTGAATGTAGCTGAGAAAAGATTAATTAGGTTACTATCATCACTGCATACATTGTTATTACATGCTAATCACTGTCTTGAATTTGGAACTTGATAGTCAAATGTATAGAGAAATTAAAAAAAATAGAAAAGAAAAGGAGCAGAGGTTGCTGTGGGTCAAAAATAGAAAACATGCGTCGTAATTCGTAACTGCTCCAGAAGACTAGTCAAGAAAATGCGACGGAAGAAGTGTGCCGACAACCAGCAACAATGTTGGCTTAGTCACAGACTAGTATGTATATTGTTTAGGCCTCGTAACCCCTTCTTACGCCTCGTGCTCCTGTCTCTCTCGTCCGCTTGCACAACCGTCTTCCTGCACCCACACAAGCGCCTAGCGGATCGAATTGGTCCGTTAGCACTCCAACGCTCAAGTGAGAACCTACTTTTTAGAGAGAGAAGTGAAGGAACAGTTCTAGTAAGAGAAGCAAAACTGAGTAAATGAGGTTTACCTACTCGACTATTTATACACGGGCGAGATCGACCGGTACACGTCGCTCTCGCCCTGTGTCAGACCCGCCATAAATGCGCCGTACACCCCTAGCCCATGCGCCTCGACCATCTGACACTTCGGTCAGAGGTTGGGGGCGCATGACATCACCTGATCAGCTTTTCGTACACTTCCGGCCGTTGACTGCCTTTGTCTCATATGCCCTCCGCCAGGTGCCCGATCCCACCTGTCCCACACGCTATCTCAGCCACCCAAGCCTAAGCCCGGACGCCATTCAGCCCAAGGTTCCTGCACCCATGGGCTTTCTCAGTCCTCTCGGTTGGGCCCGCGCCTCCGGTCCATAATAACCTGTTTTGGGCTTTTCCCTTCTGGGCCGGCCCATGCTCATTCCCCCAACAATTGCCCCCCAGTTAGGCGCCTAACGCTCGAAGTTAGGGGCCTGACTGTGTTTTTTCTCCGCGCCCCCTTGGACCTGCGTCCGCTCCCAACGGCTCTCTTGAGGTTCATGCGCCTCGCCTCTCTTGAGGTTCGCGCGCTTCCTTCTTCGCTATGCGTTCTTTCTTCGTACGATTTGCTCTCTGCTTCTACCTTGTATTTCTCTTTTCTTATCCATGCTCCTTTCCCCCACTCGCCTGTACACACATGAGTGCGTGTTCTTTTACTTACTCTTTTTTATTTATTTTTTTATTTTTTATTTATCCATGCTTTTCCCCCCTTTTCCGCCTCTTTTTCTGTGCCCTGGTGCCTCTTGCGATTCCTCTCTCTTCCCTCCCCCCGATCCGCTCACGATTCGAAATTTAAATTTCAAAATCGAGAGCGGATTGGGGAAGTCTCTTCATCTCCCCTTTCTCTCTCTCCTTCGCTCGCCCAGTTCTTCCTATAAATTCCCTTCCTCCCCCCTTAACAGCTCTCACAACTTGCAAACTTCATCTCTCTACTTCCTCTCTCTAGCTACAAACTCTCTCAATTGCCCCCGACTTGCTCTTCCACACACGCCCTCGTTTGCTATGGCATCCTCCCGGCAAATACCGCTCAGCACTCCCGCGCCTTCCGCCGAGACGGCCGCCCCCCACTGCGGGTCCACTCCACCTACCACAGAGGCGGCTCCCACCTCCTCTGCGCCTCCCAGATCCCAGGCGCCTGCCGATGGCGAGGCCTCAAACGCCCCTGCCGCCCCTGCTGCATCGAGTAAGTCTATCACTATGCGCCTTACCTTTCGTCGTTGAACCGTTTTCTCCCGTCCCCTTCAACACTTCTCTCAACGTTTATCATAGGGTTCAAGCGCCCCTACGCACTTCGTTTTCACTGCCCCCCCCCCCCCTTTTTTTTTTTGAGCACCACGTCGCCTTCGCCCTCCGTTGCCTTACCCCTTGTCCCTTCCTTTGACTCAGGCGCTTCCGTGTCCCAAGAATACATGTTTCGGCCATGGGACTCGATGTGGCCTCCTGGCTATGCGCCTCAAAATACTTCAATGTTGCCCCTAGAAGATGTCGGCCCGCACCACGCCTCGAAACAATTAGGGGCGCGCCTAAAAAAACTGGTCGTGTGCGCCCAATAACCTGCGCCCTGGAGGTACATCCACGCGCCCCCCGAGGCTCGGATTGGGTTGTGCGGCGAGGGGTGGGTGGGTTTGTACCAAGAGTTCATCCGGTTCGGCCTACGCTTCCCCATCGAGCCTGTCCTTGAGGGCGTCATGGTTGCCTGCGCGTGTCCCCTCGCACGCCTTTCTCCCTCCGTTATTCTGACTACAATTGTTTTTCGCTATCAGTGTCGGAGACATCACGTGCCCCCCACCTTTAAAATTTTTAAACATTTCTTCAAAATGACAAAAAGTGACAACTGCCTGATCTTACAAAGGCATAAAGCATTAGGATACGGGTTCATCAGTAGTTGCCGGAAGATGGGGCGCTTCTGGTTTGACTCGTATTTCTTCGTCAAACCACGTGAAGTGCCCTTCTTTGAGAGTGGGCGCCCTGTGAGTTCAGAGTGGTCTGTGGGGAACCGCTTCGCTTTTAACAAAGTGGAGCCTCTAAGTCAGACTGAGCAGGACATGGCGAAGAGTATATCGGCCCACCCTATCGACCTCGATGTCGGGGATGAGTATGCTCGTGTTCTCGCCGATTTCTACGGCGATGGTACTAACTATGCGCCTTTTCATTGCCCACACGCTTTTACTAATGTTGTGATTTATTGCTCTAACTCGCTTTTGTTTCTTTGCCTGGTACAAGGACTGACTTTACCTCGGTGACAAACCTGATAAGGTCGAAGCTCGACATTCTCCGCAATGCGAACATCGCCCAAGCCGCTCCAACCAATCAAGCGCCTCATCCGACCAGGGCGCAGCCCACAAGGTTAAGGGTGAAAAGGGTCGCGGCTGCGAGTGCTTCTTCAAGGGGGCACGACGCCTCGCCTCAACCGGCTGCCCCAGAAGGTGAGGCGGCCGTTCGTGACTCACCGGCTTCAGAGCATCAAGCCTCTTCTGCCTCGGCTCCGTCCTCCCACTCCACGCCCCGGGAGACCGGTGGGGTGAGCACTCCTCCGTCTCCTTCCTCCGCAGCCTCTCGCAAAAGAGCTGGCGGCGCCTTACAAGGTCCGGGGAAAAAGAACAAGTCCGCCACTGTGCGCGAGCTCGGGCTGCCCTGCAGCTTTATGGAGCCCACGATTGGGGCGCACACTGGAGAGGTGATTCCTCCATACCTCCAGTCCAGGCGCCCTCTAGTCAAGGTGCCAGTGGACGTCCCCGTCCGGGCGGCAAAAGACATCCCGGCGTCTGTGGCGATGGCAAGGGCGCACTACGACGTGGTAGAGCACCCAGCTGGCCTGATTTCAGACAAAGCCCTGGACGAAGTTGACGAACATGAGCGTCCAGATAATGAGGCGCATACTACTTTCCTTCACCCCTTTATCAATTGATTATTTGGTACTAATCGTTTTCTACTTTGTGTCTACGCGCCTCAGATGATGCTCCTCTGCGAGGCTACCACGAGTGAAATGGCCTCGATTTCGCGAGAAGGCACGGACGCCGCCATCGCTGCTGAGCGCCTGCGGGCGGACTTGGATGCTGCCAAGTCCGATTTGGAGGCGAAGCTGGCGGCCGAGCGCCTCAAGGCTCGAGCCGAGTTGGAGGGAGAGATCAAGGCGCAGGCCGAGGCAGACAAGACCGAGTGGGAGAAGGTGACCAAGGAGCTCCGGGAGAGGGGCGCCGCGCTCGTGCGGGAGCGGGACGCGTTACTGGAGGAGAAGAGTGTGCTGCGCCAGGCTGTTGACGATCTGGAGGAGGCGCATAAAAAGACCAAGAAGTCCCGGGCGCATTACAAGCGTGAGCTGAAGAAGTCTCAGGCCGAGATGGAGCGCCTGAATCACGACTTGGCCGACTACCCCGAATCAGATGCTGGAAAAGATCTCCAAGCTAACGTCGTGATTAGCACCGTGGAGATAATCAAGGCTAAGCTCCAGGCCGACCATCCAGAAGTGGCCTTTGACGCTATTGCTCTCATTGAGCATGTCGTGAAGGCCATGGACAGCCAGTCGGGCGCCTCAGGTGCTGGAGGTGTTCCACCTTCGGATGGTGACGCGCCTAGCGGTGGGGGAGGCGGTGTGGCTGCGGAAGTGGAGGCGGATGAGGACGAGGTTGACGAGGAGATCAGCGTCGAGTAGTTTTTTTTTTTTTTAACAAGAAGTTTGTTTTCTATGCTTGCTTTTCCCCTTCTGAACTAGAAGTTTGATTATTACCTACCTTGGCTGGGGCGCTTGGTTTGATGGTTCTATTTCTATGCTTGGTTTTATTACACAAGGCGCATTACGTAGGGCGCGATTAGTTGTTTCTGCTTACATGCCTAGGGCGCGAATGCGAGGGCGCATTACACTTGCCTTTGCATTTTACAAACCTGACGTCACACAAGGCGCGTTATGTAGGGCGCATTACATCTGCTTACATGCATAGGGCGCGAATGTGAGGGCGCATTACACCTGCCTTTGCATTTTTCAAATCTGACTCACACAAGGCGCGTTATGTAGGGCGCATTAGTTGTTACTTCTTACGTGCATGGGGCGCGATTGCAGGGACGCTTTTGAACGTGTTACTGACAAGCATACGGCGCAATTTAAAGGGCGCTTTTGAAATTACTTGAACTAAAACCACAGGGCGCGAATTGAAAGGCGCTTTTGTAGATACTACAAACAAACATAGGGCGCGATTCGAAAGGCGCTTTAGACTTTACGACAAAAACCACTCACAAACTTAGGGCGCAATTGGAAGGGCGCTTTTGGAATTACTTAGATAAACTACGGGCGCAATTGGATTAGTGCGCTTTACACGCTCAACCCATCTGGCTACCTCCTACGCAAAATCTGCCCCCTCCTTCCCCGCCTTGCTACTCGGCCTTACCCCACTATCTCTTCCCCTTCCTTGCTGTGATAAACACGAAGGTTCTGCGCATTCCACGTACGTTTGATGCTCTTGCCACTCATGCGCTCCAGCTTGAACGTTGCCGGTCCCACTACCTCGCGAACCCGATAAGGCCCCTTCCACTTTGGCGCAAGCTTTCCCTCACTGGCTTTGGGCCTGAAATCCCTCTTCAACATCATGCTCCCCGGCCTCTCTTGTCACTTCTGTCCCGGGGTCTTGAGGTTCAGCTCCTCCATCCTTCTCTCCTAACCCTGCAACCTCCATACGTCTTGATGGTTATATCCCCCTTCCTGGCGCGCCAATTGTTTAGGCCCCGTAACCCCCTTCTTACGCCTCGTGCTCCTGTCTCTCTCGTCCGCTTGCACAACCGTCTTCCTGCACCCACACAAGTGCCTAGCGGACCGAATTGGTCCGTTAGCACTCCAAAGCTCAAGTGAGAACCTACTTTTTAGAGAGAGAAGTGAAGGAACAGTTCTAGTAAGAGAAGCAAAACTGAGTAAATGAGGTTAACCTACTCGACTATTTATACCCGGGGCGAGATCGACCGGTACACGTCGCTCTCACCCTGTGTCAGACCCGCCATAAATGCGCCGTACACCCCTAGCCCATGCGCCTCGACCATCTGACACTTCGGTCAAAGGTTGGGGGCGCATGACATCACCTGATCAGTTTTTCGCAATGTTGTCAGAACCGAACCGGAGCATGACCTGGTAATGCGAACATCTCGCACTTTAGTGGTCCAACCGGCATTAGACCGTTTAAAAATCGTTAGAGAACCGGTATCTAATAAATGTTATCAGTATAAATAGTGGGCATTTCTTAATCAGAGCTCATCTCGTTCCTTCGAAATTGTGAAATGGAAATAAGGATTCAATTTGAGAGCCCGACGTTTTTGGTTTATTTCAATTTTCAATTTTCTACAATTTTTTTAATTAAATTTAATGGCTGAATGGCAAAAACCGGACGAGCGGCTCGATCGGCTCGAACGGCTAATCGCCTCGGCCGCTCGCCAACCGCTACATAAAACCGGAGCGGCTTTTAGACTGTTCCGAGCCGATTTTGTGACCGGGTGGCAGTTTTACCGGTCGGGCCGAGCGGCTCGGCTGGGCTTTAATAACACTGGTTTTTCGTACACTTCCGACCGTTGGCTGCCTTTGTCTCATATGCCCTCCGCCAGGTGCCCGATCCCACCTGTCCCACACGCTATCTCAGCCACCCAAGCCTAAGCCCGGACGTCCTTCAGCCCAAGGTTCCTGCCCCCATGGGCTTTCTCAGTCCTCTCGGTTGGGCCCGCGCCTCCGGTCCATAATAACATGTTTTGGGCTTTTCCCTTCTAGGCCGGCCCATGCTCATTCCCCCAACATATATATTTGGAACCATGTCAAAGGAGAATCTAACAACAAACATATTCCAACTGCTGCCCCTAACTTATACACATTTGCTCTCCTCCCACTTTCTAATGGGGATGATGATAATCTCAACCTACTTCAATGGAATCATCTCAAGTTGTGCATTACGAGTGCAAAACAGATAGCAGTTTGCAGCAAAAAGCACTATGCAATGGGCGCTTATAAGTGATTCAGAACCAGAAGAGTTGTCTAATAGTCATATTTCAGCAAAAATGAAGAATTTCACGATTAAATGACTGTTGGAGAAAGTTGCAAGGAGTTCATGTAGGGAAATGTAGTCGATCGGGAACCATTTCTCTAAACGCGAGGAACCGTCAGATGAGGGAGATGTATTATCGAAACTAAGAGCCGGAAGGATATGCAAATGGATGGTGACTGATAGAACTGGTCTGGTGAACAAAGAACAGTACTAACTTGGGAAAAAAGGTACAACAACTAAGTTCTCAAGGGAATCACAACGAGATCAGCATTCTATACAGAAGGACAAAATGGATTCCGCTTACATCTATAAAAAGTATTTCATTCGATCGTCTCTGCGCATGGCATTGTATACAGCTTGGACCTGGGGGGAGCAAAAACAGCATCAATAACTTTTTTCCTAGTTGAAGTTATCTTTTTGTCGACGTTTGGAAGAACTGAAGAAGGCAAGTAGAGAAGAGATACACACCTGCTCACTTGAAACCACTTGAACCGGCCCAATGTTGACAGACACATATTTGCCCCTTGATGATACTTTCTGCCTCACTCGACCCTGAAGGAGAGAACCACCAATCGGTTAATGCTTAGTAATACAAATTGAACATGTTCCGGCCACAGTTTCATTGCATATATTACTGCTACAAACCAGTGCCTTACAAACAAAGTCCTTCTACTCCAATGGTTTATGTAGGTAAAATAACAATCTGCTAGCAGCAGTCACATTCTCTCAGTACGCACTTAAACAAATGTTTAAGACGATTGTAGTAACTACTAGCTGTACAGAAATAACTAAACAGCCCTCATAGATCGACATCACGGAACTGCTTATAACTATCATGCAATCACTAAGTTCATCACCAAACATACAATGCTGCAGTTTTACCAGTTATGAAACCAATCTGTAGGCAGGCCAAATGTTTTGCCTTACCCATACATTGCCAGAAGGAACTACAAGATACTTTCCCACGATCACGTCTATTTCCATTTGTCCTTTCTAGTGCATATATCAGGCATAAGCCATCTATAACCTAAGCTTAAGAGATTGCTTCGTTTCAATTTGGCCAATAGGCAGGAATTTCTGGAAAGGCTTGTTTTCTCTACTTAAACCATTCGCTTAACCAGAAGTACAAGCGAAAGTTGTTTCTAGTTAAAATAAATTTGGCTTGTAGTTAACCATCATCATTCATCAACCATTTCTCAAATCAATCATAACAGAAGAAGAGTATATTTCTTTGCCATCCATTCGAAATAACTATCGTGTAGTCAGCTTTACACTAGCTAGATTGCATAATTGCTCAGTAAATACCTTTCTCCATTGAAGCCACATACTTTACTTACTGCACATATTAATTTCAGATACGTCCTCAGTCTTCCAACTTGAGACGAGAAATTAACTCACAAGAAGCTACAACACTCATTCTCATCTTCACAAACATCTCAACATCTAACTGAAGCATACTACCCATGTTCAATACCATCTTCGATCTTACGAACTAGGCAAATCAACTGAGTCACTAAAACGCTACAGAATCTTCAACTAAAACCCTCCAGGCGCCACAAAAATTGCAATAAGTATAACTTTGAAAATGCAGCACAGGGCTTGATCTCCTTCAGCGTATCAGACCTAAAGTCCTAGACTCTTGTTCCTAAGAAGTCCCAGGAGCAGTAACCAAAGGCAAACGTATACTAACCTCGGGAATAGGCTGTTGGATTACAGATTCCACGGCAACAACCATAGCTTGAACAAAATCATCACCTCCAGTTCCAATGGCAGTAAACCCTCTAACCGTAGGATATGTATTTACCTGGCGAATCAACATTTTAACGTCACTCCAATCCCATTAATATGCAACTTCTGTGCTTCAAAATGGTCCACAGGCAAAATTGGAAGTGGAAATGAATTTCCCATACCTTCTTATCTAAATCAAGCCATTCTTCCGAGGAATCATCAGCTACTGTCCCTCCAATAACCACATTCGTAGTTTGCCCGACTCTCCCTTCTGTTTTTGATAGCTCTGCCAAACAACATCAAAATCATTTTGGCACAAACCAGCATACTTCAAACCATCCATGGCAACCATAAAGGATATTAGAAACTATCCAAAACCCAAACGCTAATATAACATGAAAAGAGAAGGAAACCTGAGATAGCCTTCAAGACGGCTTCTTGCGGCGGCCCCTGCTCCTGGTCGTCGTCTTCCGGCACAGGAACGCCGCCGTTATTCGAGAAATACGAACGGCATGGTACGACGGAGTGAAATCGACGGGCTCTTACACTTCTGCACAAGGCGCAAATCGGTTTTCTGCGCTCGATGGTTGTCGTCGTCTGAGGGAAACAGCAGAGACGGCGAGTCTGTTGGAATGGTCTCCATGGTTGCTCTGTTGCGAACACTGAACGCAAAGCCGACCTGCACGCCATTTGTTATCCTTATTGCTAAACTCTAATCACTTCTTCGAGCTGAATTTTCCTCGTTGATTTCCTTTCCAGTTTCCCAGGAAAAAAGTTCAGTGGATTGTTACTTGGGGAGTATATAGTTCTCGTTTGAAGCTTCCAATTCGTCCATTCGATCCACAGATTTTTTCTCGATCAACCGCTAACGATTAACGAGGCAAGATCAGACACGCAAAGGTAGAGAAAGAGCTGGGCCGGGCCTACTTATGGTTGGGCCTCGGATTGATTCGAAGTTTAATTCGTCTCTTTTGCACCAATAGACGGGCTTAAAGCCCACTTTGGTTCCTCCGACCGTCTTCGGCTTAGGAAGAAGGGAACTTATTGGGTCTCGCGAGTCGCGACGGCGGCAAACGAACTGCGCGTCCCCGGAACCCTGGTAAAACACGGCGGAGGCTCATTCTCCGACCCCCGACCGTGATGTACAGATCCGATACCACCGCTGACGAAGCGGCGGAGATAACGGCGTTCAGAAGAGCGGAGAAGAAGTACAAGCTGTATTACGAGCAGTCTTCCAAAAAGTAGTCCATCTCTTTCTGTTATTGCTTCTTCGTTTCTTCAATGGAGTGCAAGTTAACTTTTTCCCTCTACTAGCGATTCTACAGGAAGAAGAAGCCGAAGCAGGTCGATTTATCGCAGGTTCTGGATTTCAATTCGATCCTGAACTCTCACAATCAGAACGACGAACTTCCTCCTGGAATCGCCGCTGTTCGTTGCGGTTTCGATGATCTCCCTGTCTTCCGCCTGGAAACTCGCCCTGGTAAATACTTCTGAAAACACTTGAGGGAATTTACGGGTAACTGAATTTTGCTAGCAGCTTGAGATAAGTCCAGTGTTATTGTTACTCTGCAGGGTTCTATTTCATTCCCGGAGCTCTGAGTGTTGACGAGCAATGCAAGTGGATAAGAGAGAGCTTAAGGAGCTTCCCTCAGCCGCCTAATCGAACCAATCACAATGCAATCTATGGGCCGGTAGGCGACCTATTCGTTGCAGCGAAAGAAGGGAAAGTGTTGTTGGAGGAAGAAGGCAGCAATGGAGATGGTCAGAAATGGAGATTTTGTGAGGAAGGTGTTGCGAAATTGAGAAGCAAAGGCAATGCTTGTAAATCGGTCTCGGGTGCTGCTTTATTGAGGAAGCTACGGTGGAGCACTCTTGGGTTACAATTTGACTGGTCCAAGGTAACCTTAATGGAGTCTGCAACTATTGATTGAATGCATGAGAATTGAGCTTTAGAACTTACAAGTCAGTGCTCCGTGGCAATGTAGAGGAACTACAATGTATCTCTACCGCATAACAAGATCCCAGATGCCCTCTGTGAGCTAGCTCAAAAGTTGGCCGCTCCTGCAATGCCAAAGGGGGAAGAGTTCCATCCAGAAGCTGCAATTGTGAACTATTTCGGGCTAGGTAACTTTGCTTTTGATGATCCAAGGAAGTATGATGCATAGTTATCATAAAAGACTAAGAAATTCAGTTGTACCTCGAGATTGAGGAAACTTCCCCATTTGTTGTTCAGGTGATACATTAGGAGGCCATCTAGATGATATGGAACTAGATTGGAGTAAACCGATTGTAAGCATTAGGTGAGTGTTTTGAAGCTGTGTTGTATTCTGCAGAAAGGACAATGAAAAGCAAAAGTGTTACTTACTGATTTTCGGGTTTCCTTTGCTTTCTTCTTAGTTTGGGCTGCAAAGCCATCTTCCTGCTTGGGGGTAAGTTGAGAGACGATCCTCCGCTAGCGATGTTTCTCCGAAGTGGTGATGTGGTCCTAATGGCTGGAGAAGCTAGGGAATGCTTCCATGGTAAGTCAAGTTTTCTCATTCGTCAAGTCTTGATGCACACAGTGTCTGGACTCTGGATCTTGAAACTGATTAGAAACTCTTGATCTTTCTATCTCGCATTGTGGAAATGCTCTACTCTCAAGAGTCAGATTTTATTCTGTCTTCATGTTTGAACTTTGACTTGCTTGAGTATGGTTAGGCTGAGTAAAATTGCAAAGATGTCTGATGAACCAATGGAAACCTTTTGCTGTAAAGGGCTGCAGTAAAACCATCTTTTATACTTACCCTTATTATGCTTAATACATTTTAATGATCCTCTGTAGGTGTGCCTCGGATTTTTATCGACGAAGAAAATGCTGAAATTGATAGTCTGGAAACACATTTCTCAGAGGAAAGCCATCTCCTGGACTATGTAAGAACTTCAAGAATAAACATCAACATAAGGCAAGTGTTTTGAGTGTATTTTTGTTTCCAACATGTAGGCTACTGGAGCCATTTTGTAGTTGTATGTATGCGGAAGAGGGAAAGAAAGGAACTTGAACTCAGAAACAAATTAGTAGGCCTTTCCTTCTTTTACGATAAAAATTAAAATGGTTAAGATTGCTGGCTAAGTCCATCTCTTTCGCAATCACAAGCTTAAGGCCATTCCAACCCAATCACAACTCACCCTGGCGTTTACTAAGCCTAGTCATTTTCTTGAAGCTTGAACTTGAGACCTTAATCAGTTCAAAAGAGATCCTAGCTATCTCATCCACGCTCTTCATAGTCGTAGAAGGTGGTGAGTTGACTATGCAGGTCGTTTGGATGGGGATTGTTACAATCATGGAAGATGGATTGCGCGAAAATGGATAGCTTTTGAAATGTATGGATTTTAAAATTTGTCATTGTGTATGGTGGTTCGTTGATGGATGATCAAATGGTAAAGTGAATCGTGGCAGTAGTTGTTTTCTTTAGGGTCCTCTTCAATCAATTACGCTTGTTCGAATGCAATGTGTGGCTGAGCTACAACTTAGTTTTCTTAAACAACTCAAGTCCTCCAAACAATATACAGAGGTTCCTCATGAGCACCCACCCATTTGATTTTTTACTAGCTTCTGCGCATAGCTGGGGGACTCTTTGGTCATTTGGTTTGCTTAAAATAGTCAACTTATTAATTAAAAAAAATAGAGACTCCAAATATAAAATACCACCCCTTACACACACAAAAAAAAGACCACCCTTTTTTATTGATATGCTATGTCGTATATTATAAAAAAAAAAGTATATGTTATATATATGAGATCATTTGCTATACTTCAAAATGTTGGTGTTTGCATATGCAACTTGGTAACTTAACGACTTAACGTTATATAAGTTCAGTTTATATTATAAAATAATTTTACGAAAATGTATAAGTACAAACTGTACCATAACGTAAAGGTATACATTTATTTTGTATTATAAATGAACTTGTATTAAAATATATAGGTACAAACTAAACATGTAGCATAACATTAAAGGTAAAAGTTTAGATTATAATATAACAAAATTTGTTTGGAAATGTATAGACACAAGCGTTCATCTAAAAAATGATGTATGTCTGCCTTCACACTTATTAGATGCACTTCAATATATTTCGGTGATTTATAACCATCATTTATTATTTTTATATCAATTGGATCATATGGTTTGAGTTAGAAAATAGTGGATGGGGTTTACCCATTAGAAATTAGGGTATAATGTCATGCACCAAAAACCAATTAATTCTTGGTCTAAATAGCAAACTACAGAGACGTAAGGTAAGTTTAGCGTATATACATACATTAAAATTACTATTAGCCGCTATATTTGTTGTATCCATATAGGTAATTTATATTATGGTTAGTTTATTAACATGTTAGGTGTATAATTCAACGTTCGTACCCACTCCCTTATTAGTCTTTACTTAATCATATTTCATTTGTTCTAAATTACATTATAAAATTTTAACTAAAAATTTAATTTAATTATACTATATAAAATGATACCTAGTTTGACATGTTGTGGAAGTTAATTTTTTTTTTAGTCGAACAACTTATAAAATCATATATAATATTCATGAACTATCAATTCTTCTACAATGATACTCGATCTATACAAAAAATTAAATTAAATTTCTACCATAAACTTTTTGTTAGATTGTCACAGAAGCGGGTCTCAACTTGCTGACTGGACTTTGACTAAGCTCCCAATCTCTAAAATTAACTTAGAATAACCATATACTCCCCACTTAATTCATGATTTACAAATTAAAAATAAAAACACCACGTAGAAAAATTGAATTCATAGCATGTTTAATTATTCTCATTGTCGACCACTAAAATTTCCTCAATCATTTTTTGCTTATTGGAAATGAAATCTGCAAAGATACAAGAAAAAAATGTATCTATTGGATAATAGTCAGCTCTTACTGGTTTATTATTTAGTTTTCAATATATAGATTTGATTTTGTGTGTTGGTCGTTCGGTTGTTTATCAACATTAGGCGAACAAAGAAATCTCATAGAATGTTCATGAGATGTACACTCTACTGCGTGAAATGTTTGGTGTTTCCAAACATGTTACTATTAAAGATGCTTCCATTGAAATAAAGAAGAAAAAAATTAAATAAAGAAGAAACAACCTATTGTGAAGATAAAGTTTTTCATTAAAGAACTAGGAAGACAAACATATTGTATTTGGTGGAGAAGGTGATGCTTAATAGGGTAGAGGAAGTCAGGAAGAGCAATCACAGAGAATCTAAAATGAAATTTGCAATAATTATTGACAGTGAGGAGCAAATGTGTGGTCTAATTAAAATTTTAGGAGTCAATTTCCTTGCATCACATTGTTCTATACATTTAGTAAGGACTTTAGTCAATAAATCGGGTTGTTATGTTAAAATTTTAATGAGTAAGATATTTTCAGTAAATAAATTATTTAAAATTTTTAAGGTATGAAATAAAACATGTCTTGCTTTATAAAATTCTATGATTATTTATACTATTAATGAAATTCATCCTGCCAACGGGCGGACCCTAATTAATTAATAAAAGACAAATGCAGGTACACAGATTCATAAGATTTTAACTCAACTACTATAGATATCTCTATTCATTAATTATTCGTACATGTTTGATGATTAAGAGGTGTGAAAATGATTTCTAGTTAGTCTCACCCCTCAATAGGCATCTAAAACCAAAGGCACGGAACTCATATTGAACTTTTCTAAATCAATTATCTTGTAGGTTCAATAAGATCTTTAGAGGTGCATAACAAATTTCTTCTTGTTTGGTATTAAACTCTGTTCGCTTTCTCTCTCTTAGATTTTATTCGTGTTTGGTAACTAAAACCCTGTTCGCCATTTTTGTGCATAACCTCTCTTTTTTTTTTGCCAGTACTAAAACTCTGTTCTCTTTCTCTCTCTTAGATTTTATTCGTGTTTGGTCTGCAAATGGCGGTTCAAGGGACTAAATGACGGACCTGGTCCGCCATTTCTAGTAAATTACTCTCACCAATATGGCTCCAAATTGACATAAGGTTTCCTCGTGCAATTGAGGACTGGCAGTCTAGTTTTGTTTTGAAATCTTCGTCAATACCCCATCGATTTTGCCCTTTAGAGCAGTAATTTGGCTTCTTTCCTGCATGTAATTGGCAACTTGAACCCACCAGTTTCTCTATGATGTCTTTGTTTTCAGCATTAGTGTCCACTCGCATTCGATTCGACATGCGCGTACATTCGTCATTGATCATGTGAAGGCTTGAAAATGATCCAAAAACACTACAAGATACTTAAGAAATACCGAAGTACTCTTGGAGGCTATCACATGCTAAAAGGACTAAAGATGCACATATTATGATCATATTTCTCTATCAAAAAATGTATGATAAACACTATAATTCAAGTGTTATAAAAAATGGGGAACTACTATTAGTATTTTTCGTATTAGTGGGTCATGGTGAACGAGTATCAAATACATAGGCGGGGCAAGGGCAAAACAGTTGTGTCATGATGGAAGAATTAGATGATCTGCTAAGTGCGTCTTTTTAGTTGAAGAATGATTTTGACTTGTCAAGGAAACACTTCTTACTAATGAGGAGCAAAGGACTATGCCCTCAAGCATCTTCAATATTTTTTTCCCCATCCAAGCTTGTTTGACTGCTTATATCCATAATTAGTTAACCCTTCATAATAGCCTAGAAAATGACAACCATCAAAAGGCCCAATCCCATATAACCTCGGCCTACCCAAATGATGTTCATTGGTCTCTACCCAAAGAATTGCGGCCCATGATCCAAGGGACTCGAAAATCAATCATGTTATCCTTGCCTTCTAACCAATAGCCAATCAAGTTATTCTTACCTTGACCAATCACACTATTCTTACCTTTCAACCAACTCTTTCGATTCCGCTTCTGCAGCAGTATATAATCTTAGTCTCTTACCTTAATGTCTACAAATCCATTTGTTTTCCAATGATGGCAAGAAATTGCAAAAATACTTTTTTCCTTTTTCTTCTTCTTGTGTTCTTCTTGAATGAAAACATTGCTTTCCCTCATGCAAACATGCTTCACACTCTGCCGCGAAAAGGGGTCGCTTTCTTCCCCCAAAAAGGTCAATTCTAGCATCAGGGCCCAACTACACCTTCATAGTTCCTTCTTTTGCTCACTAAGCTATATTTTTTTATGAGAGATTGCAATCCATAATAGAATGAGGATAATGTAATGGCAAGAATTTTAGAACATAAAGAAGATGTTATCCAATCTTGTTTGACTGCTTATATACATAATCAGTCAACCCTTCAAAATTGCCCAGAAAATGACAGCCAAAAGTCCCAAGCCCATATAGCCTCGGCCTACCCAAATGGTGTCTAGTGGTCTCTACCCAAAGAGTTGTGGCTCATGATCCAAGAGACCTTAAATAAGCCAATCATGTTATCCTTACCTTCCAACCAACCGGCCAATCAAGCTATCCTTACCTCGAACAATCACGCTATCCTTGTCTTTCAACCAATCCCTTCGATTCCAATTTTGTCTACAGCTTCATTTTTTCCATTGATGGCAAGAATCCACGAAATACATTTTTTTCCCTTGTTCTCCTTCTCATGTTCTTTATGAATGGCAACATTGCTTTACCTTGTGAAACGATGCTTCACACTCTGCCGCAAAAGGGGATCGATTTCTTCCCCCCCCCCCCCACCCAAAAGAAAGATGAGTTCCAGCATCAGGGCCCAACTACACCTTCGTAGTTCTCTCTTTTGCTCACGAAGCTATACTTTATTACATATTACAATTTAGAGCATAATGAGGATAATGTATGGGTAAGAATGTTAGAACATAAAGCTATCATATTCCATTTAAGTTGGGCCAACCTCTTTATGAGATTTCATACTTTGGAACTTTATGTTCATAATGGTTTCGTGCTTGCCTTTGGGACTCCGGATAATAAATCTTGATTGAAGCTGTATTTTCTCAATAGATTCAATCCGTTCATGGTAAAAATCCATATGAATTCGATGTACTTTTTATCGTCCACGAATAGTGAAACCTTTAATGCAGGGTGAAGCATATGGTTGCCCGACTAGTTAAATGTTATTAATGAAAACAAAATTTCATTATTCTTAACAATAGGGCTTGAAGACTGCTTGGTTCATCGTGTTATTGCTCTAGGTTTACATACAACAACATTGCTCTTAGTAAACGACACATTATATGCATGTATGGATTTACAATTTGTACCTTCCTATTTAATCTATAAGGACCAGAGACACATATTTAAGTTTCACGACCAAATAAGCCTGTTTCATGAAAAGCACCAAACCAAAAACAAGCAACCCCTTAAAAAATAATTGAATTCCTTAAATCTTATGCACATTCGAAGAGGGGTTTCCTTTACGTTCGTCATAATTTCTCGTTCCCAATACACCCTATGTCATATAGCTACCAAGAAGCATAATACGAAAAACACAACATGCGTCCCCAACAACAACTAATTCATATAAAGTCATTGAACCGATAGTATAGTTTGTAAGACCGAGAGTGATCCTCACATAAATGAATGGAAAAAGAGCATGTCGTATTACTGGGGATTATGAAAATAGTTCATTTTGAATAGGAATAGAGCGGATCCAAACCTTATTTGAATTATTGGTAAAGAACATAAAAAAAATTCTATGTAGGATCGAGGAAATAAATGGACAGAGCTTTAAGGCTCCAATTATCAATAAACAAAAATAAATGAGCTTCTCATCTTAACTGTTTTACTTGAAATTAAAAGGATTATCCTATCTAAATTTACGATAAAAAAGTATTAGTATCTGATGCAGGAAATCTTCATAAGTCGATATTCTTAGTTGAAAGGAAAAGTCTTATTCTTAGTTGGAGGAAATCAATTCCATGGCTTGCTAATTACCACTTCAAGAAAACTTATTTGGAAAATAGTTTAATGACACATCTCACTAAAAATAAGTAAGCAGAAGAGTGATCGTCTACAAGACTGTTCCCTTATCAAAATAAAATAGCCAGGGATCTCGAAAGAGGAGTATGACAAGAATTGTAGGGATACGCCGAACCTACCTAGCTTTAGAATAGGGATCATGTGTAGCAAAAGACACCTTGATGAGATAGATGTCACTGATTTTGAATTCATTCCCCTAAGACTATCACTGAATGAATCAGGTAATTGTCCTAGTAGGGGAATATGAAGTGGTGCATCAGAGAATTCATTCAAGTACTCAAATTATTCCCCTCTCTCAATTCTTGGCAACAAGAAACAAGAGTGCTCGCGTCATGGGTAATCGTGAGTTCAAAGCAGGGAATTGGCTCTTCAACATCGTATAGCGGTTAGCTAAAATGAAAATAAGTCTTATTTTTGGAATAAATTGGATTGCTCTAATCTGCCTACACATGAAGCCTTCCCTCTCTCAGTTTATTTTTTATATGTATTATTTTGGGTGCATGGGTTTCTAATTATAAGATAAACCTTCCCCTTTTGCATTATGATAAGTACTAAGAGCCCATTTGTTCACAACTAGAACGACCCCTTCTTTGGATCCATTGACATTCTTTCAAATGTGCACTATGAAAAAGAACCCATATGCTTCCTAATCTTATATTGTAGGTAAGAGCCACCAATGTTGGTAAGACTTTAATTAGCTATCGATTTTGGGCATCAAAGAGCATGTGGGACCAGTGGGGGAATGACTGCAGACTAGATTAATTCAACTCCACTTTCGATGATTGGGCGAGTGCACTTTAATAAGAGTATCAAGGATCTAGTGGGCATATTGTTTTACCTGTATGCTCAAGGAGTTACAACAAATGATTTTTGAAAAGCGCTATTGATCTTGGTCAACAAGTACACTAATCAAGAATATTAATGAAAAACAATTAATGAAAAAACAACTAGTTGAAAAGTATTGTGCGATGGATGTGAAAAAGTAAACCATTATCACAATAGTAATGAGCCAAGCTAGTATTAATGGCCCAACCAACAACCAAAGTTGCATGTATTAAGTAGATTCAATATATAGTAGTGCGAGATGAGGGACTGATTGGGAAGCACAAAATGTCGAATTCCAAAGGAGCTGAGCTTTCACCGACTCGGGGATCAGGGTTTTCCTCAGTGTTAGGCAGAGCTGCTATAAAAGGACTTTATATGTCCAGGTGAAGGCTCAATTATTAGAGGGTTGATAAAAATATAATGAATCCATCGGTACGCATGCATGACAGATCAAACTCAGCACTTCTAAGTTATGACAAGAGCAAGTAATCATATCATTGCAGCTCATTTCTTAAGCTTTTAAGTGTATTTTGCTTTTTTTTTCCTTTAGAGTGTAGATTACGAAATAGACTTACTTATTCAACGAAAAAAAAAAAGAAATAAACTTACTTAAGAGTGTAGACAATTAATGTATTTTACGCATTTCATAATATGATAACACATTAAATTATTTTATGAATAAATTAATAATTTTTTATTATTTTATGATGAAAAATATAGTATATACGTAGACTTCAAGGGTCCAAGTTTACACCATCTCATCGAAGATTTCTGAATTCCATCGACTAGCATTTTCGCAAATATCCATAAATATCGTTGTTATGTAACCTGGAACTAGTGGTGGAGTCGGGAGTTGAAATTGGGTGTTTTCTTTTTCAGAATATAAATTATTTCAATTGGAGATTTCATTTTTAATACCATAAATTAATTTTGTGATAATCAAATAACAGGAAATGAGTTTTAATACAGTAACAAAATACTTGTATGTCACCTCAAGATTATGAGTTTGATCTCTTGCATAAATAATATGAGAATTATTTTTTTAATCAAAACGTACTTGTGTTATGTGAACCCAAACCCCCCTCCCACTCCCACCACCCATGCCTGGATCCAATTTACGGTGAATCATCAGTCCAAACCCGCCGACAAGACCGTCTATGTTCATTTTGGCCTTCAACTTCGCCGGTGTCCACGAATCTCAACGCGTATCACTAGTCTGCAAGTTGCAAACCAAAATTTTCATTCTCTCTCAATTCTTACCATTCAGTTCAGCACCGCCTCACTAGTTTCCACTTGAAAGAAAGAAAGAAAGAAGGAAGGAAGGAAGGAAGAGCGCCCCACAAACTTCCAAAACCCTCATTCAACAAAACCACGACAATAAGCGACCTCAGCCACCAAATAAACACACCCATCTATCTCTATTCTCTCTTTTCTTTTACGTGTACAATTCCACAACCACTTTCTTCCTTCTTTCATCTTTCCCACACAACCAAAATCAGCCCCACCAATTTTACCTCCTTAACCCAACAAAATCTTCCCTTAGCCTCCTTATCTCAATTCTCCTCCTCCTTATCCCTCTCTTTCTCTCTTAAAATGTTTCCCGTGGTTGTGACCCAGCTGGCGGCGGGCCTCAGCGTGCTGGCCGGAGCAGTAATGGCGAAATCCTTGCTTGACGAGAGGCCCATGTCCGGTCCCTTCCAACAAACCAGGTGCCCATCTTGCAACGGGTCGGGTCGGGTCACCTGCCTCTGCCAACGATGGTCCGACGGCGACCTGGGCTGCCAGACCTGCGCCGGGTCCGGCCGGATGGGTTGCAGTAGCTGTGGCGGGTCGGGGACCGGCCGCCCACTTCCGGTTCAGATCTCGATGCGGCCGCCCAACCGCCCGTTTTGACAAAGACTGGTTCCATCTGATTTGTTCCAGTCTCTTCCTTTTGGGTGTAATTTTCTAATCTTACGAACCAAATTTGTATGTATAAGTGATTGTGGGTATATAGTGGAATGACGTGAAGAGATTGGAGATTTGGTAGCGATGTACTTCTACTTGACAATACTTTTTTTTAAACAGTTTTATGAATGAAAATTACTCTCGATCTCTCTTTGTTTTGTGGGTTGATGTGATGATTATTCTTTGATTATACATGGACTAAACAATCCCAAGATAATGGAGCTGTTTAATTTTCACATAAAAGATGTGAATGTATTACTTGTTAGGTGAAAATTGTAATCAATAATGCGAATAAGGCTTCGTTTGGAACCTCCGATTCTATACGTTGTATTATGATAGTGCAGAATATAACATATATTTTACTTGTTTAAATCGCTGAATGCATGTATAGATAATGCATGATTAAATTTATTTCTACAAATTTCTCTCTTCTTTTGTTCCTAAAAAAAATTATTTAACTTATTCCCTGTAAAAAAATTCTGAGTTAAGCCTCAACCTCTTGAAAATATTTTCTAGTATATTTGGTTTATCTCGAAGGAAGATTTAGTGTATGCAACCACCACATTCACCGGCAAATCTTCTTCATTCCTTCCCACAATTTATTCGAAACATCAAAATTAACACCCAACAACGTAACCTGAAGAACCAAGTATTGGATAGTTCCGATCTGACACCATAAAATACAACCAAAGCCGTGGTTTCTAGCTTTGTGAGTTGTAATGATTCTACCAAAGAAGAAGAAAGAAAGAAAAAAATAAGACTCGTGATTATTCTCAAGTGGGAGTTGGGACATGATAAACAATGACTACAAGCAGCTTCAGCCGTCATAGGCACAGCTACCAAAATCAAAAGAACACAATTAGCTTGAGACAGCAAGAAGTAATTCATTCAGACCCTAATTAAGAGGCACGAGTCTTGGAGGTCTTTTCTTAATGTTTTTGGGAATTCTTACACTGCCTTACTTAAAGTAAGGTAACTTGATTTTTTTACTTGATATAGCAGGTTTCACATGTTACATTATGTAAAATATAATAAGCATTACATAACATATATGTATCTTACGTAACAGTTGTAAAATCTCATTACGGAAGTCTTACATAATGGAGGGTTCTTTTACGTAATGAATATTTACCTCGCGTTACATAAAGTGATAAGTCATTACGGAAGTCTTACATAATGCTTCTAATTTAACTGTTACGTAAGAAATAATTGTCATTACGGAAGGCTTGCATAATTGAGGCTTCTTTTACGTAATTAATATTAACCTTGTGTTATGTAAAGTGTTACGACATTACGGAAGCCTTACGTAACGTTTCAGATTTAACTGTTAAGTAAGAAATAACTATTATTACGGTAGCCTCACGTAATAGATGTGTATTTTACGTAACAGTAGTAAAATATCATTACAGAAGACTTACGTATTGAGGCCTCTTTTATGTATGAATATTAACCTTGCGTTACGTAAAGTGTGAAGTCATTACGGAAACCTTACGTAATGCTTCTTATTTAACCGTTACGTAAGAAGCAACTATCATTACGGAAGCTCTATGTACTGAATGTGTATTTTACATAACAGTATTAAAATATCATTACGGAAGCCTTACGTAATGGAGGCTTCTTTTATGTAATGAATATTAACCTTGCGTTACGTAAAGTGTTAAGGCATTACGGAAGCCTTACGTAACGCTTAGAATTTAACTGTTACGTAAGAAATAACTATCATTAAGGAAGTCTTACGTAATAGATGTGCATTTTACGTAACAGTTGTAAAATATAATTACGGAAGACTTACGTAATGGAGGCTTCTTTTACGCAATGAATATTAACCTTGCGTTACGTAAAGTGTTAAGTCATTACGGAAGTCTTACGTAACACTTCGAATTTAACTGTTATGTAAGAAATAACTATTATTACGGACGACTTACGTAATAGATATGTATTTTCCGTAACAATTGTAAAATGTTATTACGAAACACTTACATAATTGAGACTTTTTTACATAATGAATACTAACATTACATTACATATAGTGTTAAGGGCATTACTTACGGCTTCTAATTTCATTGCATAAGCCTTTGGTCATGGAATGTCATTTTACATAATGAATATTGACACCAATTGTATAAACATAAGTAAAAAATTGTCTAAATGTAGAATTAATAAAGAACTCATCAAAACTCTTGTAATCCGAAAAACCAAAGTTAAAATGTAGGGGAAAAAAATGCAAAGAGTAAAATAAAATATTGAAAGCTAGGGATAACAAGAGAAAGAAACGTCATTAAACAAAAAAAAGGAAGAACTTAAATGCGGAATGAATAACCGGCAACGCCGGTGCCCATTGTTTCGTTTTTATTTTATTTTTTTTAATCAATGGCTCAAAATTATTTAAATTTATTTGAAATTATACTTAAATTATTATAAGAGGTCCCAATGTTTTTTTTCATGTGTGGAATGAAGCTTCATTCTACTTGCATGCAAGCTATTAAATCTTAAATTAGCGGTCCTAAATGGGTTTAGAGATCGAGCTAAAACGGGTGGCTCAAAGCCCATGCGACAAGATGTGATTAGATACTTCAACTTGAAATTGAAAAAAAAAAAATTTATAAAAAAAAATTAGATTAATTATATTTTACACAGAAACATATATTTTGACATATTTTGTAACTGAATATAAACTATTAATCAAGACATTTTTACTGCGATATACGATAATAGGAATATACCAAGTATAGAATGGTGGTAGAAACATACTAAGCACTATTTATGAGCATCGTCTACAATCATTTGCCACTATAGTAACTAGTTTCGTGCCTGTCCGATGGGCGGTACATTTTATTTTGTTATTTTCTCAATAATTGCATATTTTTATTTCTCTTTGTATATACTAATTAAGATTATTTATTATTCAAACTTTGTCTAATAGGAGGGCCACCACATTTAGTTTGAGTATGGCTAAGAACAATGATCATATAAAACAATAAGAGTCGCTACTTCATCACCATTTTGAATATCATATTGCGATGTCTGCTCTTTGATTGACTAAATTTTTTCAACCTCATATGTTGTACATAATTTTTCATTGATTTTACCTCTCGTGCATCTATATGTTTGGGCAAGAACATTGTTAGTGCCTAACATTTATTTCAGCCTCATGTACAAATTCACGCAGATAATTCAAATTATCATATGTAATGATCGAATCAGAGCTATTTCAATATATTTCTCCAATAGATGAATGTATAACTGAACAAACTTGGTAATTGAACATTCTGGTGGTAGTAGACTGCTCAACCGATGGTAAATTGGCCCTAATTGATAGGTATAATCCATGTCCATCATTCAAATAATGATCTATAATTGTCGCTCATATAACTAAAGGCAAAAGATACCATTGGTGCACATAGTTCTTTTTATAGTATGTACTTTGTATTTTGAAGTAATATCAGCACACACTAACATGTACTTGAATGAGGTCCAAGAGTGAAAAGTTCACATATTTAGTAAATAAGCAACTAAGAAAATAAACATAGTTTAGATCAATGAAAAAGAGAGACTATTGCATATCATGAATAGTTGTAGTCTTATACTACTAATTTATACATCTATAATTGTGTATTACCTTTAACCTTTTAACACTTATATAACCAAAATTAGTCATAGAGACACTCCGTCTCCACTTTACATTACCATGGAATATTAATTAAATAATTACTTAAGAAATAAACATGGTTTGGATCAATGAATGGGAGAGACTATTGGATATCATGAACATAAGGTGTACATATACTACCAATATATACATCTATAATTGTGTATTACATTTAACCTTTGAACACTTATATAACCAAAATTAGTCATAGATACACTACGCCTCCACTTTACATTGTCATGCAATATTAATTCTATAATTAAAGATCCAAAGAACATAGCAGCAACGACACCCATCATCATAAGCTTTATCTTTGCATCATGCAAATAAGTTCTCTCATACACATTCCAACAAACAACTTACATGAATTAGTTGATGGCTAGCATAGAGTAATTGATGTATTTTTTAATGGAAAATGAAGATTTACTATTTATAATTGATTAGATGAGAGATAATGTAGATAGATATGGAGAAGGAATTTAGGTACAAAAGCGGCTTGACTAAAGTCTAAATGCATCTGTATGTTGAAAGGTGGTGACCTAGATTGTTCTAATCATTCACTGACCAACAATGAAGCATAAGCAAAATGCGGAGTATGATTTCATTTTACCATATTTATGATTGACAGAGTGGAGCAAAACTGACTTACTAATGTTTGGAAAAAGGTATTATATTTGTGGGAGAAAAAAGCTGGAAAACAAACTGAATTTTGCAAACAATGCAAACTTGAACATATGGTGTACATATATTACCAATATATACATCTATAATTTTTTATTACATTTAACCTTTTACCACTTATTTAACCAAAATTAATCATAGATACACTCCGCCTCCACTTTACATTGTCATGCAATATTAATTCAATAATCAAAGATCCAAAGAAAATAGCAGCAACGACACCCATCATCATAAGCTTTATCTTTGCATCATGCAATTGAGTTCTCTCATAGACATTCCAACAAACAACTTACATGAATTAGTTGATGGCTAGCATAGAGTAATTGATGTATTTTTAATGGAAAAGGAAGCTTTACTATTTAGAATTGATTAGATGAGAGATAGTGTAGATATCTATGGAGAAGGAATTTAGGTACAAAAGCGGCTTGACTAAAGTCTAAATGCATATGTATGTTGAAAGGTGTTGACCTAGATTGTTCTAATCATTCACTGACCAACAATGAATTAGCATAAGCAAAATGCGGCGTATGATTTCATTTTAACAAATTTATGAATGACAGAGTTTGAGCAAAGCCGACATACTAATGTTTGGAAAAAGGTATTATATTTGTGGGAGAAAAAAGTGGAAAAGAAACTGAATTTTGTAAACAATGCTAACTTGAACATATGGTGTACATATATTACCAATATATACATCTATAATTGTGTATTACATTTAACCTTTTAACACTTATATAACCAAAAGTAGCCATAGATACACTCCGCCTCCACTTTACATTGTCATGCAATATTAATCCAATAATCAAAGATCCAAAGAAAATAGCAACGACGACACCCATCATCATCAGAATTACAAAAAATCAAACTTTAACTTTGCATCATGCAATTGAATTCTCTCATAGGCATTCTAACAAACAACTTACATGAATTAGTTGATGGCTAGCATAAAGTAATTGATGTATTATTTTTATTGGGAAAAGGCAGTTTTAATATTTAGAATTGATAAGATGAGAGATAGTGTAGATAGATATGCACAAAGAATTTAGGAATGACAGCGACTTGACTAAAGTTTATTCGGGCTCAATTGTACACTTTTAGTCCCGGTTTTCTTAGTCGTTTGAGGAATTTTTACTCCAGGAGGTTAGGTTTTATGCTGGGTTTTGTCTCGATTTTGTGCATTTAAGTCTATAGCAGGTGGAACCAACCCCGGAGTTGAAAGTTGGGCGAAAAGGCAAAAAACTGGGTCAAAGGATGGAGGCAGTAGCAAATCACGGTGGAAGCCATTAGTTCACAGTCAGTGAGACTGTGACCTAGAGCCGCAAACCGTGAACCGTCAGGCGTCCAGGGACATTTTTTCTTTCACTAGACTCAAACCAGTTCACGGTCGTAAGAGCGTGAACCCAAGCCGCAGACCGTGAACTGGATTATTGATGCAGCACGTTTTGCCATGGGATCATGGTCCACGCCTTGAGTTCACGACCGTGAACTGGGACCATGATGTGAGCTCGACCTGGGTATAAAAGGGGTTTGATCTGAAGGAGAAAATGGGAGAAACCTAGCGTGGGAACTTCTTCTGCTTCTTCTTTAGATTTCTAGAGTGAGAAAGTGACGAACAAAAGAAGAGAAGAAGCTAGGATTTCATCTTCAAGCAAGGTTTTGTCAATTCCTTACCCAAAGGAGGATCTCTTCAACACAAGGAGCAAGGCTAGCATCTCCATGATGGTTTCCCTTCTTCTCTCTTGTGTTTTTCCTTCTCCTAGCATGGAGTAGTCCCTTATTTCACTTGGGTGTTTGTAAATCCTAGCTACAATTATGCGAATGTTTGTATGGATCGAATGATTTTGTGTGGATGTGTTTCAATATGAAATTGGAGGTATTTTCATTGAAAATTGTGTTGTGTGTTTTACCTATCAATCTATTTTTTATTCTAACCTAGGTAGAGAGAAAATCCCCTTCTTTGAAAGAGGCTTGTAAAGCTGGGTTTTCTTAAGCAAATCTTGTCTCCTATCTAGGTTAATGTAGGGAAACCCTCTTATTTCGTATTAGCACCTAGGTTAGGTTGTAATTTGGCCGTCCAAACTCTGATTCGAGGGTGAAGTCTTGGCAAATGGCAACCCTTAGTCAATAGGACAAGAGAGCTACTTTGGTGGCTTGAATCGAATTCCCTTGACCTATTGACCAAGAGAGTTGCATTTGTCCACTTGTTGCACTTCCCTACGGTTTACAACCTCCTTACTACACATGTCCATTCGATCTGACAAGTCATAATTGCTAGCTAGGGGGAGCAACACCCGGTGAAGCCTTCTCAATTAGTGTCAAATCCATTTACTTTTCCAAACGTTTTAACTATAGATCATCGTTGTCACCAAAACCAATCGCTAGAAAATGTTACAAATAATCGAAGTAGGGATACATGGACTGGCCTGGATTGGCATTTAAACATACTTGCCCTATATTGCACCCAATTAAGGTTTACAATTGGGCCTTAATTGGGAGTTTTATTGTGATATTCAGGACGAGTCAAGTTTTTTGCGCTGTTGCCGAGGAACAAACAATCCATTATTTTGAAAAGAATGTTTGTTGTTAATCTAACTTTTACTTTTCCCTTTTGTGTTTGTGAATCTTGCTTGTGTTAGACGAGTTGTGGTTCTTTTTAGTGTAAGCAGGAGGTGTACGACTCGGAGTAATCCGACAACTTTTGGCGGCACTCACGAGAGAATGTCAACCGCACTCTCCGACTCTTGGCCTGTGAGAGGGAACTGGCAGAGGCAAGATTAAGGATGGAAGAAAGGGGACAACCACAAGTTGGTCCCGAAGAAGAAGTTGTAGTTGAGGAAGAGTTTGATTACGAAGAGGAAGAAAGTGAAGCTGATATGGTTGCAAATCAACATGCTCTAGGTGGAGCGGTCGCAGAGGAGAAACCAAGGACCATGGGCTACTATATGGCCCCACGGGTGGCGGATATTTAACCTGCCATTTGACATCTGCCCTTGGACGCCAACAATTTCGAGATCAAGCCCGTCCTCGTCACCATGATCCAAAACAATGCACTGTTTCATGGGCTTGGCAATGAGTCTCCAAGGGAGCATGTTTAGAAGTTCATCAAACTTGCGGGGAGTTTGAAGATCGATTGTGTTCTCGAGGATGCGTTGAAGTTGAGGCTATTCCTCTACTCTCTTGAGGAGGAATGCGTCTCGGTGGCTCAACAATAGACTAGCCCTCTCGATCACCTTGTGGGATGACATGCTCAACAAGTTTATGACTCGGTATTTCCCACCTTCTAAGACGGCGGAGTGGAGCAAGAAGATCACCCACTTTGAGCAAGAGGAAGATGAGACATTGAGGGATGCATATGGCATGAAATTTATGGTAGCTCCTAAATCTGCCAAGGACTTCCCTATAGCAAACTACCAATCATGCAAGGGATAGTAAAACTCCCTGGGTCTTTTCGCTTCTCTGGTAGTTTGTTCTGCAGGATGGCTGAACACTCCTCGTTGAGCATTAACGTTGACAGCTCCCCAAGCTTCCTCTTGTTGGTGAGGAGATCCTTCATGAACTTGGCATACTTGGGCATCTTCGATAATGCCTCCACGAAGGGCATTCTTATGTTTACCTGCTTCAGCATTGCCATGAACTTTGCAAACTCAGTCTCTAGTCGGTCTTTGTGCAACCGAGTAGGAAAGGGAAGCTGGGGTACATACTCCTTCTCCATTTCCTCTTCATTAGCTGGAAGTGCTGAAGCAGGGATCTCTCTCTCTCTTGTGCGTGAATAGGTGGATCAATCTTCACTCCAAGGATGATTTCCAAGCTTGATTGATGAAACCCAGCTACAAAACCACTCTTAGGGGGTGTTCTTCGCACTTTCTCTCTCTAGGGCTCTATTTTTGCTCCAAAAAGTCGACTCCCTCTCTTTTGGCTCGAATTTGGGTTAAAACCCAGAAATTCCCGACCACACGGGTAGGCCACACGGCCGTGTGGCTTTCTCAGCTGCCCGTGTGAGTTGTGCAAAACGCGACGTTTCGATAAGTGGACTTCAGCCATCCTATACGGCTACAACCATACGGCCGTGTGGATTTCCAGGCTGCCCATGTGAGTTCCCTGGAATTTCCACACGGCCACATGGGTTCCCTTACACGGCTGTGTGGGTTTTAGGCATGCCAGTGTGACTTCCTCAGCTTATCGCCAAACGTCCGATCTCCGTCCAATCGACCCCGAACTCGTTCCTAAACCTTCATTCACGTACTAGGACCGGAAATATCACAAACAAGAACAACCTAGCGTGAAATCGTCCTAAAACACGAGAATCAACATCTCAAATGGCTCAAGAATAGGGGTAAAAACATGTGCAATTAGCAGTCTATCAAGGGCACTGTAGAACTTAAGTGTGTGTGTGTGTGGGGGGGGGGGTGTTTCTCTTTGATTGTCTAGCTATGTTTGTGTGCTTGGAGCCTAGTCCACTGTCCAAATTTTGATTTTAGGGCTCCAAGTACGTGTTCCTTGCAATGACCTGCTTAGTATGCTTTGAATTGACAGTCTTTATAGTACTATGCAATCTAGGGAGATAGTGTAGCGCTATGGAGGATGTTGAAGTATAAGATCTCTCATATCTTCCTTTTTGTTGTGCCGATTGATTGTGAGAACTAGTGGAAATAGGACATTTGATTCATGTGATATCGATGACTCTCTCTTGCTGTGTGTGGACTCATGTTTCGTATAAGGGTGCTCAGGTGTGTAATGATAAAGCAGTTGGTCCTCCGTGTCAGAAAAAAAATAAAATCTTAACCATGGGGTTAGCCCAACTTGTGTGGCACCGTTCACATTGCACAAAATTGGGTTTGGGAAGAGACTTTAGTGATCCTTAGTTGGGTAGGCCTACAAGGTGAAGCTAAGCCATATCTAGTACAAGTAAAATTTCCACTCGTTGAACGGTTTGCCTACTTGAGGATATGTTTTTAAGGGCACGGATAGAGCTTCCGACCCACCTTAATTTCATTGACCCTCCACACGAAGTGAGGAAAAGGAGTTAAAAGAAGTACTATGGTGAGCAACAGATGTATAGATATTGCTCTTCCTCACCTAATAAGGGTCGACCACGCATAAAACTGCAGTTGGAACCCCAACAAAGTGCAAATTTGAAAAACAAAAGAAAAATAAACAAACAATATAGAAAAGGAGTTCCAACAAGTGAAATGGAATGAAAGAGCACCCAATACGCAGAGTCCTTGGTTGTTGTGTTATGTGTTTCCATGAATCATCTGTCCTAGGTCCACTGCTTCGCATGATCTTGGTGTGAGTCTTGTACTTGCATTGAGGGAAATGGGGGATGTCTTAGAAGACCGGTTGACCTCGTAAATCACTAAATGATCTAGGAAATCCTCTATCGATGATCGGGATTGCATGGTGCTGTAGAGGTCTGGAGAGTTGCATTGGTTTGAGTTAGGTTTGCTTAGGGACAAGCAAATGCATAAGTGTGGGGGAATTTGATAAACCATTATCTGCACACGTTTTAACCACCATTCTTGAACTGTTTGAGAGTCCGTTCTCGTGTTTTAAGCCGATTTCACGCTAGGTTGTGCGTTTATGTCATATTTCAGGACTTGGCGTGGACATGAAGGCGTGGAAACAAGTTTCGGGTCAAAAAGTGGAGAATTGGAGCCTAGAGGAGCTGGAAGCTAAAATACGCGGTCAGGGCCTCAAATACCCGACCAGGTATAATCAACTGGGCGCCCAGGTTTTAGTAAAATACCTGATCGGGTATTTCAACCCAGGATCGGGTATTGCCCCTTCCCCAGTGCACAACGTTTTGAAATACCTGACCAGTCCCCATGAATACCCGACCGGGTATTTGGACCTGGTATCGCGAGCTACTGCTGTTTGAAGCAAGGTTTGGGCTCTTTGACAAGGGAATCTGAGTTTTGGAGAAAGAAAGCAGAAACCTAGAGAGAAAAAGTGACGAACAAAGCCTCCAAGTGACCTAGATCGATATTCAACATCATGGGAGCTCAATTGAAGCTTGGAGAAGTGTCGATTGATAACCAGGAGCCTATATTCATCCTTCACATAATGATTTTTTGAATTGCATGAATCCTGATCAAATTCCTGTATTTCCTGTTTGACCTAGAAAGAGAATATCTGCCTAGGTTGATAGAGCTCCCTTAATTGAAGGTGGTGAATTGACTACTTTAGACGAGGATTCAATTCACTACTCTGTATTGGATTTACTCCAGTAAATGAGGTTTTGAACATTAGGGCCTCAGTTTGTTTACTCCGGTGGAGGTTAGTCACCCGCCGGGTATTCAGATTGAGAGGGTCTAAAGACCTTTAGTCGAGACTTCAGAATGAGTAAGAACATTCCCCAGTATAACTGTCATTGAATCTGGACTTGGAGAATTATAACTCGACTTAACTGTAATCTAGGAGGAACCATATCTGGGTGACCTCTCTCAAACTTGAATCACAACTTTTACTGCTTTGTGTTCATTTAGTTTAGTTAACACTTCACTACTGTTAAACCTCTAAATAATAAGAACTTTACGGAGTAGTCATCACATCTAGGACCTAGGTTAACAATTAAAGCTAGACCCGCTATACTACGCATTAGTAGGTGGTTACACTTGGCCACTTTCTAGTGTGACGGTAGAGGCGAGTCAACATGCAACATTCATTCAACATTAATTGACTAATCCCTCTCCCAATTTCAACATTCATTCAATTAAATCGCAAATTTCCCTCACCTTCACACTTATCCGATTCTCCAAAAATTGAGTATAAAAAAGTTGAAAACAAACCTGGAGACTCTAGCAGGATTGAAGGGGAAAGTGAGGAGAGGTCGAGGGTAGGGGTGGGCAATGGGATGGGATGAGATACCTGTCCCATTTGAAACGGGTACCCAATTCCATTTAAAGAGCAATCTCCATTACACATCACAAGCCCGTACGGGTTAACAGGTACCAGTTACCCGTATGGACGGATAATGGGTACCCATACTACCCGTAAATACCCGTCCAAAATTCCATTGAATCGCTTCTTTGCATTTCCCGTTCCCATTCGTAGAAACAACAAGACCATTTCTTTTGCACACAAATCAAAACAGCAACACAAAACAAAAACGAACCAAGAACAAATCAGAAATAAGAATTAATTTGATGATGAAGGTGAAGTGTTGCCGCCACCCAGTTTTATACACATAGTTTGGGAGATAGAGAAAGTGAGGCCTGTAAATAACAAGATAAGAAATAAGGGGAACCACTACAAACGTGGTTACAACAGAAGTGCAACTAGAGATGAGAGAATCTCGGAGTTGGTTAACTCCTAATAGTTCTCGTTATTTTTTTCTGCTATTTCTTTTTAGTTAGTGTGTTTCTTTTTGCAGTTTGGTTCAATTTTGTTTAGCCTTGGCTGCTACTTTGTTTTTTTTTTTATTAACTCTTTTTCGTTCTCTTAATATATATTTTTCACCATTATAAAAATCACACAATCTTGTAATAATTTTGGACCAATGGGTGTAACGGGTACTCGTAATACCCAAACGGGTATTAACGGGTAACCCGCGGTTACCCAAAGTAGCCATTCTTGATCGCAAATCCCATCCTGTAAAAAATATTAAGAGTATTTGGGTACCCTTAACCCTCCAAAAATGGGACGGGTATGGGTATACCAAATACCCATTTTCCGTTGCCCACCCCTAGTCGAGGGAGTCGAAAAATCCATGGAAAACTGGCGGGGGGGGGGGGGGGGGGGGGCGGTCGCCGGAGCCTCGTCGGTAGCTCGTCAAAGGCTCATCGGAAATCGCCTCATCGGAAAAATTGGAGCCAAAACTCCCCAAAACTTCGGCGAAGCTGCTCCCGGAGGCGAGAGTACTGGGTCTGTGTTTGGTTTTGTGTTTGGGTGGTCGGAACTCGCCAAAATCGACAAAGAACGGCAGGAAATTGTGATTTTCCAGCGATGTTCAGAGGATGCCGGCGAGGGAGGTAGCGTGAAGTGAAGAGAAGGAGTTCATGCTCCTTGTATAGGTCGATCCTGCAGTTCACGTACGAAGGGCCTGTTCACGATCGCTAAGACCAAAAACATAACTCCCAGACTGTGAACTAGGGTAAAATGGTGAGTTTCAAAGACTGTTGGACTTGCCCTTGCTCACGGTCTCCATCCTTTTATCACAGTCGCTAAGACCGTGAACTGGAAGCAGAAACTGTGAATTGAGTGAAAACAGGGCATTTCCAAAAAATTTGACTCGATCTACTCAACCGTGCATCTAATCAAATATCAACACAACCCAAATCACTCAAACACAAAGACCTGGCACGGTGATACCCATTCCAACGCTTGAACTCTTCAAACAAACACAAAAAGAGAAAATAAGGAAAAGAAAACAAACCGCCATTGGGTTGCCTCCCAACAAGTGCTAGTTTAATGTCACTAGCTCGACGTTGCGGATCTATCATGCTTGAGGGCACGAAGCCACCGAGAGTGGATTCGCAACGGTCTCGGGGAGAGGTTTGTCACCTCCCAACTTAAGCTCCATAGGGTAGCCTTCTAGGCTCGGCACTTTTGCCCTACCTTTATCTTTTGGTGGGGAATAAGCCCCGTTCAACTTATCCCTCCATGCTCTCTTCTTCTTTCCTTCGTACTTAGTACCCGCCTTGGTTTCATGCACCTCATCATCAAATGGAACACAACAACTAGCGGGGTTTGCCTTGAGAGGCTCAACTCCACTTCCAATCATACCACTCGAGTCCATTTCCTTCACAACATCATTCTTAGCCTTAGGATAAATTGAAAGAGTGAGTTGCTCCGCTCCATCTCTCAAAACCAGGGTTACCTCATTAACATCAATTAAGGCCTTGGCGATGGCAAGGAAGGCGCCCTAGTATGAGTAGCATATTCCAATCTTCACTGATATCAAGGATAACAAAATCCTTTGGATAAATGAAATTGCCAACTCGCACTAGGACGTCCTCCACAATACCTCTAAAACTAATGACAGAACAATCGGTCAATGTGACACTAAGCCTAGTGGTCTTTAATTCACCCAAATGCAACTTCCTAAAGAGCTTGTAAGGCATCACATTAATGCTTGCTCCTAAGTCCGCAAAAGATTTTTATATATGATGATTTCCGATGCAAAGAGTTATAGTAAAACTACCTGGATTCGGTTGCTTTTTAGGCAACTTGTTGAGGATGAAGGCGGAGCACTCCTCGTCTAAGGTGATATTGGCGAGGTCTTCATAATTTAGCTTCTTGGCGAGAAGCCCTTTGAGGTATTTGGCATACCTCGGCATGTGCATTCTGGCCTCCAAGAATGGAATGGTGATGCAGATCTTCTTGAGCATCTCCATGAATCCACCACATTCCACTTCCAATCGTTCCTTGTGAATCCTCGTGGGGGAAAGGAAGAGGAGGTTTGTACTCAGCCACTAGTGGTGGCGTCAGCAATGCCTTCTTAGGCTCTTCTTCCGTTTCTCCCACTTCTTCTTGATCATTGACCGTTGGAGGAGTCTTCTCTACT